CCCCAAAACCCCAAAACCCCAAAACCCCAAAACCCCAAAACCCCAAATTTTCAGAATATGATTGAAACAATATAATAAACTTGTGAGCAGATCATCATAAAATATATAACACATCATGGGTAATCGTCAACTACTGCCCTTTAGCTAAATGAATATAGAGAAGAGCAGTTCCTATAGCAGCCTACGGCCAAGGATCAATACTACGAGAGATAGATCTAGCCAGATAGTATCTAGTGCTGGTCGATCTGTCCTGAGCGACCTCAAAGCGCAGTATATTAACAATAAGAGCAAGCCTCCAAACAGGCACTCACAGTCTTTCAAAAATTTACATGAAGCGTTTGATACACTAGAGTTGAAATAAGCAAAAAGATACATGGCTCCAGGAATATGGAGATGAACAAAGTAAGAATATACATTATTTAAGCCTGCCAGGAACGGATTTTACTCAAATTTTATAGAGCCCAAACATTCTATGCGGAAATATGCATCCACCACAAAACTAAGGCCAAGGAACCTAATGCAGGATGATGAAGAGGGTATAATTTATGACGAAGCTAATGGGTTTGATATTCCATCAGACCAGAGAAGGAAGAAAAGCACATTCGCACCAACAAAGTCAAAATATATACAACATTTCCCTGGTGGCTATAAGGTAGAGTCAGAGGTGCCTGCTGGAACTTCAGTACCGTTTCAACTACCGATGATGAACGGCTATGGAACCCCGTTCCCAGGGTATGCTTCTCCATATGCAGGACATCCTTATTCATATGCAGGATATGCTTCTCCTTACCCTGGACATGGAACACCATACAGTCACCAATACGGGAATCCTTATTATGGAGGTCACAGTCCTTACCACCCAGGAATTCCAGCAAGTAGGTTTAATCTTCTAATAATTTAGCCCAAAGCTACTCAAACTTTATGCAGTTTATTGATGAAAGAGACAGAATGAAACAGCATCTTGATAAGCAGACTGACTCGCTAAACTCTTTGAAGGAAGAACTAGAATCTCTGAAAAAAGATAGCCATAATTTTGAAGAGAAGGTTAGGCACGGACAAGCACAAATAATTCCTATTACCAGAAGTAAGAAGCATTAAGCCTAATCTATGCATCAACTATTCGTTAATAATATATGATTTTTATTGTCTGAATTTTTGATTGACCTATTGTGGGAACTCCTGAAGAAGTTGGCTTAGGGAACTTTGCTCCTAGGCATGAATGCCAGCATTTCTGCCTAAATTAGGCTAACAATCCAGTGGAATAAATTCAATAAGTTAAGTAATTACAGGGGTTTTGGGGTTTTGGGGTTTTGGGGTTTTGGGG